AAAAATATTTTTTTTTTAAAAAAGGCAGTGCATTTTGGTTAGAAATTTTTATATACATTTAAATTTGATTACTTAAAAATATTTTCATTATAAAGTCAAATTTTTTAGATTACTTAATAATTTTTATTATTATTTGTTTTTGCTTTTTACGTTAATTTTTAATTTTTTCATATATCAATCATTAAATAATCATGATTCTTTCAAAAAGCCAGTCAATATGTTTTACTCAATGAATGAGCGATGATATAATCTTTTTTTGTGCAATACTTTACATATATTATATATAATATTTTTGTTTCGTTTTTAAAATGTTTATATTAAAACCACTTTCGAATTACTATAATTGAAATTTGCGCAAATACGCTTTCCGACCTATATGCATTATTAACCGATCTATACACTTGCAGTCCGGTGAGCTGCACAAAAATGCGAATAGTCGTTTTCAAAAAAGCACAACAAATGCTGGCAACATAAATGAAAGTGAGTAATTCTTGCAAAAAAAGAACACTAGAGGGGATGGTGATACTACACTGAAGACGTATTCATATCATAGAAAACTAGGAAATCTATATTAAAGAGAACTATAACCGAGAAGAGTGTATGTATACGTATTAAGATGTTGCATATATAAATGTTTTTATAATTCGGAAATCAAATTTTTAAAAATTTTTTAGTTTTGTTTTTGTTTTTATTTATTTGTTAATTTTTATTCAAATAGTATAAATTTTTATTTAAGAAACTATTGTTGTGTGACTAGCAACCCTCACAATATTTAACGCGTTCTCACTAAATACACTGCAGTCAACATCTTCAGATTCTAACAATACAAGGAAGTAAAAACAAAATATTTTAGTTCTAGAAAAAATAAAAATAAAATAAATTTAAATATATATAGATATGTATTTGAGCGGAGGTGGGAGAGAAAGAGAAAGAGTGAGGAAGAGCAAGAGAGAGTGAGAGGGGGGCTGTACTGGTATATGGGTAGTGTAAGTGTAGCATAAATATTACATGCAATAGTAAAATGTTGGGGAACAATAAATTGACCGGTAGTAGAGTTGCCAAAAAATATTTAAATAAAATTTCTTAATTAATATATGTAAGTATTAGCTGCAAAGTTAATTACTATTTTTTATAATTCATGTACAAATCACATTATTAGTAATAGCAATTTAAATTAATTGTCGTATACTTTTTGTTTAATAATAATTTTTAACTAAACATAAGTATAAACGTATGTAATTTGTACTTGAATTATTGAGAAAAGTAACTAACTAAGTAATAGTTAACTAAATTTATATAGCTGTGGTTTACGTTTTAATTCATAAATTGGCGCCGCGATTCCACGGTGCAACGGGCTTAATTCGCTACGTTTGCATTCAAAATAATACACCAATATATGCTTCCAAAAGCCGACTAATTATGAATATTTGGCTGAATAACTAATAGGTTTGGTCAATAATAAAGAAGACTTAAGTTATAGTAAAGTAAATTCAAATAACTGTTGTTAATGGTTCAGCTATAAAATTGGTACAGCAAGTTCAATTGTTTGTAAATATCAAAAAATAACAAAAATACTTAAAACTTAAATAATAAGCTTCGTTTGTGTGTTAATGTACGAGTCCACGTTTCAAATTTGGTAGGGTTGAATTTCTATCATTTGCAGATGGGAGTAATTCAGAAACAGATGTTTCCAAAGGTTACTTTATATGATTATTTCGCGGTACCCGCAACAGCTAGAAGTTCAGTCTTAATGAAAAGTTCAGTTTTTGAATGAAAACACCTTCCTAGAAAATCTCCATATTCTTTATGAAGTAGATCTCTTGTCATATAATGTAATATAATAAATTATAATTATTTTAAGTAATTAAATAATTATTACTTTTATTCTTCCTAACTTGAAGAGTTCACTACAACTAAAAAGCATAAAGAACATAAACATTTTTATTAAATGGCAACTCTTTTCATTTTCAAACGCATATTTAAAAACAATAATAAAAAAATGCAAAATGTAAAAACAAAAACAAAAAGAAAAACTTTTTAAAATAAAAACAACAAATGCTTAGCGCCAAAAAGCATTTTTGCAGCGTAAAACGTAAAATTATATTTGAAGGACATTTGTCGCAGTCGACGCCACTTATATTTACAATGGCTGCATATATTCTAATAATGTGTGAGCATGAATACTC